GTTAGAATCTGTTGTTTGTTAAACAATATGTTTATTTTCTTTCACAGAATTGAAGATCTACCCCCTCCCACCAAAAAGTTAACACCAGAATTGACCCCTTTTGTGCTTTTCACTGGATTTGAGCCTGTGCAAGTTCAGCAGTATATTAAGGTGAAATTCCCTTCTACCTTCTGGGAGGAGTTTTAGCACCGTTCCTTTTTGCACACTCGGCTTTAGGCTAGCAGTGTGTTAAAGTAACATTTAACCGGGAACGTCTTGCTACAACAGAGTTTTTGGCTTATAAATCAGTTGTAGTCATTTTTACAGTAAAAGTAGCCATTAAATCGTAAGTGACGTTTCACCTTGTTCTGTGGTTTTTATAGTTTTATACTTAGACCCTTGCTCTCTTAATAGTAGAAAATGTAACTCGGGTGAGTAGACAAGACCCACATTTATGGTCCTGCGAACGCGAGCAACCTGCTTGAACGTGCTCGTGCCAGAAGCGCGCCCCCCCCCCCCCCCCCCCGGCGTCGGGGAAGCCGCGGGCCACCGGAGGCCGGTTCTCCTGGGTGGGGACCAGGGCGGCCGCGTGCTTGTGCTTGGACAGGAAGTGGGGACGCAGCCTTCAGCGTGCTGTCGGAAGTAACAGCACAAGGGAGGGGACATCTCGCTTGGCTGTCGTTTCGGGGGCGGCGGTTCGGAGGGCGTGAGTCGGCCTGTTACCACGTGGGCTTCGTTCATCGTACCGCTCAGGTTTTGAAGGAGAAGAACCCGTCCTAAGTGCCGTATCAATTGTTTTCACTTTTAAAATTGAGTCTAGTTACGGAGATCTTTCCTGGATGTTCACGTCTTCTCAGTCACTTCTCTAATTTTTATGAACAGGGTCTGTCTGTTAATGTGCCTCATCAACACCCATTTCAGCTTAGAAAGTCTGGGCATGTTCGCGCCTTTTCGTGAAACGCACCGCCTTGTTCTCCGGGCATCGTGTCTGTGGGGTGTGATACTGGGGCCCTCGGGGAATCGCTGGTTTTAGCTCAAGGCGCGGGGTCGACTCCGGACACGTCCATGTGCGTTGCTGTGCTCGCCGTCTCCCAGCTCTCAGGCCAGCGCAGTGTGCCTCGCTCAGGTGCGGCCCCGCGCTCACCTCCGCTCTGTGCCCCTCCCTCCAGAAGCTCTACATCCTTGGGGGCGAGGTCGCCGAGTCTGCGCAGAAATGCACGCACCTCATCGCCAGCAAAGTGACGCGCACGGTGAAGTTCCTGACGGCCATCTCCGTGGTGAAGCATATCGTGACGCCGGACTGGCTGGAAGAGTGTTTCAAGTGTCAGACGTTTATCGGTACGTAGCGTCCACAGCTCCGTTGCTGATGTGGAAAACCGACACGTGTTTTTCTCAACTTTATCTCTGCTTTCGTCCCAGCAAACGCCTCATTTGCTTTCTTACTCTTGATAACTCACCATTAAATTCATAAATGTCTCCCACATCCCAGTGAGTCACTTGATACTTTTGCCTTGTACCGGGAAATAGGAAGGCTTCGGCGTTTGGACGTTGGGGGGAATAAGGCCTCAGCCTCCGCCTCCTGATCCTTCCCGATCCTGATGCGTGTGTTCGGTTTGGATGCTGGCTGTGCGGTGCGATCTCGCGTGCAGCACAGGGTACGGGGATGGCGTCCAGGGGTGTCCGGGCACAGCTCTGATTGCAGGCTCCGTCAGAGGGCTTGGTCGTCCGCCCCTCCTCATCTGCCCCGCGTCGTTCAGGGCACCAGGAGCGAAGTCCTTCTAGGTGGTTGTGCTTAGAGACGGCAGAGAAAGCATAGGTTTTGTTACACGGATCAGTGGACCGAAGTACTTTTAGTGGAAGCGGCAGCAGTGTGACCCCCCTCCCCCCCAACCCGTGTGGTGCTCCCAGCCCACATGAACCCCACGCGCACATCCTGAGCCCTCACCTGGCCACTGGTGCAGGTGGAGCGGGAGAGCAGGTGCGTGGCCCGGACAAGCTTCACTGCGATCTCGCAGTGCTGCTGAGTCTTACCTCCCTTGTGGGCCCCGGCCCCCCCCCCC